CCGCTAGCAGTGCCGGGATGGCTCCATCTATTGGTGGGGAGCATCACCTGCTGGAAATCGGGTCCAGCGTCCCTATCAAGTACATTTAAATTGCAATTATACAGTTGGATTTAATCCATGTCAGCTACGATAGCAATAAGGTTGTGACAGGTTAGTGGGCCTGTAGCCTATACTAATCTTTCGATTGCAATGTAATTTACAATGTGAGCCATGTTGACTATGAAAAGAATCAGATTGTGGGAGAATTCGAGCTCTATGCCGCTGCTATGTAGTCTGTACTAGCTATCGGTTGTAATGTAGTTTGTGCTGAGCTGTTTGTCTGTTTATTTGTTTGTTTATTTGTTTGTCTGTTATTCTGTACTTGTAAGATTGTTACTGTTTCTTCCTGTCTATCCTATTGGATCTCTTTACAGTTGCTATGTACAGTCATCGGGCGGCTCCAACTTATAGTGGGGAGCTGCACCTGCCGGAAACCGGGTCCAGCGTCCCGTTGATACATCTTGTAGATCAGCAATTGTTCTTTGTTTCCTGGGGCTGTGGTCATTTGTCTTGCTGGACTGGGACTCCGTCGTCCCCTGGAGCTATGTGGGGACTGGGCGATGGTGGGTATCCTGATGTTCTTGGTCTACGGGGTTGTCATGAGACTGCTGGGTGGCTCGCATAGTCCGGTTTACTCGAGCCCAGCAGAGCACAGATACAGACTATTTCACAGTGTAGGTCAATAGGTTAGGTCACTTGCACGATTCACATAACGTCCTGTGTTCGATACCAGACTAACTTAGGGCTGGTCATCTCACGATTCACACAAGGTCCTGTGTTCGATACCAGACTAACTTAGGGCTGGTCATCTTCCTAGTACGTGGTCAAAGGATTGAGCCTGGCATAGCAGTTCCTTAGTACGAGATGTCGGGAGTGTCAGGAGATAGTGCACTGTACCGCAGCTGTTAAATGGATCTGCACATCTAGCTCCCCAACGCTGAGGTTACAGGACGGCGCTACCCGTCCCAGCATGAGCCCGACGTCCTCCACCGTGCAAAGACGGATTCGAACCGGCGACCTCGGCCTCAAGAGCCAGGTATCTTAACCACTACAGCCAGGAACATGGTGTTCAAAAGTGGAACAATACCGGTCATGATATCCACCCCACCCCTGCAAGGCTGTAGTGTCCAACTCAACACACACCACACACAACACCACACAGACACGACGTATTGTCTCTGAGTTGCAATGTCCTGGTACAAGGAGGGCTAGGAGTTGTTCTAGGATTAGGAGGCCAGAATTGCTGATATAGCATAGTCTTCTATATTTTTTGTACTTAGTATGATTATCTCACATTTCGCATAGAATCAGCAGGCGTTCATCATTATCATCATCATTATCATCATCATTATCATCATCATCATCATATGAGGGACCCTGAGCCCGGTTCTCAGCAAGTTCGGTTCGGTCACTCTGGGTAGACTGTGAGGACCCCGGCCTCAATCTTCTTATTGGTAATATCAGCCTTGGGCACTGGGCCTGTTTATTTAAAAAAAAAAAAAAAAAAACATCATAGTAC